CACGCTGGCTCTCAAAATACCTGAACAATCTGATTGGATGCAGGCATTCTTCAGGTATTTTGAGAGCCAGCTGGGCCGACTAGCAAGATACTGAAGCTTGGCCCAGTGGAAGATTCCTCCAACCACACAGTTTAGCGTAGATGGAGGAATCTGTGGCACTTTTTCCATCTGACCATAGAAAATCTGCAGATAATCTATAGGTGTATGGCCAGCTTAAGCCACTAAACACTGCTTCATTGCAGGGCTTGCTGATAGATCTCCAGTGTAAAGCACACGTCCAGGTGTGTGGGATACCTTGTCTCCCATTGCGCTCTGTGGTTCACTCCATTGACCCATGTTTCCTGCAGTGAGGTAGAGGCCAGCAGACAAAACAACAAAGCAAACAGGGGTTGCTAGCATCCAATACTTCAGGAAATGTCGAATGCTACAAATGTTTCAACAAAACTTGGATCTTGGAAGAAGTGGAATTTGGCTATTTGATTAGTAAATTTGTATTGCTTTTCTTTGTAGAGAGATATTCTTTCTATAGTCTGTACCTGAGCTCATCTGTAATGATGACAACAACAATGAGCCATGCTGGTGTAATGTGTGTTGAAATGGACACTTTTAATCTCCATTAGAAGCCCATGTGACAAAGCCGAATAATTATTTGGAGACGGGGACAGAGCGTTGTCACCCTATAACAGGAAGGGCCTGAACATGATCTCCATGGCAGGATCACCAGGGATTATTTAAATGAAAGCTACAGTTTTCAAAATATTAAAATGACTTTTGCGTTAGATTAACATGTTACAGTTTATATGATATTTGAGTGATTGGGTTCACATATAATTCAGTGAGTTGTTTGTGACTACATACTACTAGCTACTAATACCATGACCTGGTTGAATGAAGACCTTCACAGACAACCAAGCAATTTGTTGGTGGAGTGTAGTGATAACATTAAAAAAGACTCGGAGCCACATTAGGGCCCTTTCACACATACTGTATACATACACAGTAACATGTGTTTTTGCCATTCATTACTGCATGCGCAAAACATTCAGAATGCATTTATTTCAGAAGCTTTGAGCCCGTTCTCTTCTTCTTTGCCTCTTCTCCAGCTCTGGGTGGTCCTCAATAAAGCGGAGACTTTTGCTGACGTGATGATGTCAGTGCCACCTCTGCATCATTGTACCATTGGGGTGGTCCAGGTCCTTGACCCCGATCACACACAGGAAGTTGGTTAGATGAAGCTGTGATCATTCAGCCCAGAAGAGGGCCAGTTCTGGATCGCAGAGTGAGGGCGTCCATAGGGGAGAGTACTGGAGAAATGGCTTCCTGTGCGCTCCTGACCATAGTAGCCATGTAAAAAGATCTATACTGGCATGGGCAGGTGGTGCCCCATATACTTATCTGAGACCAACAGGACACCATGCCAATATGCAGTATGCCTGTAGTTTCCTGATCAACCTGGGACATCACATGCTGACACGCATAGCCCTCTCCTCTTCTGTGAGTGTCTAAATAGTGTTTGTGCTGGCCCAGCTCATCCTCCCCTTCCCTCACCTACCTTTATAACCTTTTTGGAGCAGTATGAGGACAAACCTAAACACTCCATTCAATTTGCATCAAATCAGGATGACCCTTGTACTATATAGTTGATGGTAGACCTAAAGCAGATTGTACAGTCAGATTGCATGGTGTATGGTCAGCTTTAGACTAATATCTTTTTAGGGGACAAAGAGTAACTGGTCTAAAGACATAAATGTCATATTATGATGAGATGACTGAAATAAAAATGTAATGTGTGATCTTTGCTTACAAAAAAAAGACCTGGGGCACTCAGTAGAAGACCTGGGGCACTCAGTAGACGTCAATTGGCATTTAGTAGAAAACCTGGAGCACTCAGTAGAAAACCTGGAGCACTCAGAAAAAAGGCCTAGGACACTCAGTAGAAGATCTTGGGTACTCGGTAGAAGACCTAGGGCACCCAGTAGAAAACCTGGAACACTCAGTAGAAGACCTGGGGCACTCAGTAGAAGACCTTGGGCACTCAGTAGAAAACCTGGGGCACTTAGTAGAAGACCTGGGGCACTTAGTAGAAGACCTGGGGCACTCAGTAGAAAACCTGGGGCACTTAGTAGAAAACCTGGAGCACTCAGAAAAAAGGCCTAGGACATTCAGTAGAAGATCTTGGGTACTCGGTAGAAGACCTAGGGCACCCAGTAGAAAACCTGGAGCACTCAGTAGAAGACCTTGGGCACTCAGTAGAAGACCTGGGACACTCAGTAAAAGACATGGGGCACTTGGTAGAAGATGTGGAGGAACTCAGTAAAGACGTGTGGCACTCAGTAGAAGATCTGAAGGAACTCAGTAAAGACGCGTAGCACTCAGTAGATCTGTGGCACTCAGTAGAAAACTTGGGACACACAGTAGAAAACCTGGGACACTCAGTAGAAGACCTGGGGCACTCGGTAGAAAACCTGGAGCACTCAGTAGAAGACCTGGGACACTCAATAGAAGACCTGGGACACTCAGTTGAACACATGGGGCACTCAGTAAAAGACCTGGGGCACTTAGTAGAAGGCCTGGGACACTCAGTAGAAGACCTGGAGCACTCAGTAGAAGACCTGGGACACTCAGTAGAACACCTGGGACACTCAGTAAAAGACCTGGGACACTCAGTAGAACACCTGGGACACTCAGTAAAAGACCTGGGGCACTCAGTAGAAGGCCTGGGACACTCAGTAGAAGACCTGGAGCACTCAGTAGAAGACCTGGAGCACTCAGTAGAAGACATGGGGCACTGGGTAGAAGACCTGGGACACTCAGTAGCAGACCTGGGACACTCAGTAGAAGACCTGGGACACTCAGTAGAAGACCTGGGACACTCAGTAGAAGACCTGGGACACTCGGTAAAAGACCTGGGACACTCAGTAGAAGACCTGGGACACTCAGTAAAAGACATGGGGCACTTGGTAGAAGATGTGGAGGAACTCAGTAAAGACGTGTGGCACTCAGTAGAAGATCTGGAGGAACTCAGTAAAGACGCGTAGCACTCAGTAGATCTGGGGCACTCAGTAGAAAACTTGGGACACACAGTAGAAAACCCAGAACATTCAGTGGAAGTCCTAGGTCACTCAGTAGAAGACCTGGGGCACTCAGTAAAGGACCCAGGGCATGTGCCCCGGGTACTAGGGTCTAGATACAGCAACGAGCTGCTGGCTGCTATTTTAAACTTCCAACTATGGCAGGGAGAGGTTGTTGCAGCAGCAAGTGGAGGCCCCATCAGAATGTTGCTGTGGGGTTCCATGTCGGATCTATTGTTCCGAAAATACTAGTTGCCTGGCTATTGTGCTCTTTCAATTACTTTAATACTTAATTTGCCTCTAAACCAGAACAAGTATGCAAATAAGGAACTGCGGCTTCAGTGGCTGTGTGCTTCTTTTGGATTAATGACTCAGAAAGCATTAAAAAACAGAGACAGTCATGCAGGTAGCATTTGAGGAAGACAATCAATAATGGACCATTCCTTCCTCTCATTACAAATGGTTTCAAATTCTGATGACAGAGCAACTGCACTGACAATATGGAGAAATAATTTGCAACTCAATAAAGCATGCCCATGAAGTGCAACTGAAGCCAGAACCTTCTTTTTTACTTTGTATACTGTGAAGAGGGATTAGATTACAGAGGGCACAGAAGGTACAATGCTGTACATTCATAGCATTGCCCGTCTCTGTACTGAGCTACCGAAGACCCATGAAAATGAAAGGATCAGCTCTCGGGAAGTCAGTATTTACATAGGGCCAGGCATGCAGGTGGTGGGGGACACATCCACTGCTACTTTTGCAAGGTAATATCTAGGTATCCAAGGGCAATTGGTGCACATAAAATGCATTTATAATCTGTGTGGCTGTTAAAGATTGTATTTTTGTGCCCGGAGTTTAGATTTAAAGGGTTTCTAAAACCTCCGGTTTTTTTTGCATATATCTACTACAAAGACGGGGTAAGTTTAAACAGCAGTTTAAAAAAAAAAAAGAAAGCCTGCAGATAGCAAAGAAGCTATTGCTTCCTGTGCTATCTGCCATCATTTCAGGGGGGGTGCTCTCTCCCAGCCCCCCCCTAACCTCTCCTCCGTGGATGGGGGGGGGGGAGAGCACCTCCCGGAAATGAGAGGGACACCTCCCTGAAAGTGCTTCTTTCAGGTTGGGATCCCTGTTACCCCGTCTTCGCCGAGCCCTCCCATCCGAGAATCCGAAATTGCTCTGGCGGCCGCAAAGCATCTTGGGGCGGCGGGCGATGCGCAGTTCAGATTTTCGGCTGGGAGACGAGCAGAGTAGCAAGGTAAGTCTATGGACGCGTGCACCCGCATGCAGACACCGTGGGATCGGAAGTGCTTGCAAGGACAGAGGAGTCAGCGCTGGATCAGAGAGCCGCCGCACCGCTGGAGGGACAGATGAAAACATCAGGAAATAAGAAGATCGGATTAAGAGACATCATTTAAGGTAAGTGCTAACATTACCATGTGGGAGTGGGGGGGGGGGATGTTGCCTTTAATGTCACTTTAAGTCCCAAAGTTGGGAGCAGTGTGGTTTTAGGTGTACTCCAAATAAGATCAAACGATTGGCTGAACATAATGACAGATGTTTTGGCACAGTTTAGAACATAGTTCTCACTGGGTTTTAACTCTTTGGTACAGTTTATTTTTAACCAGTAAGGTGCAAATTAGATTGCCAGAATTACACTTTCTGTCTAAAATAAAACATTATATAATAGATATGAATGAAGTACTGAAGACACCCTCCCCCCTTCTCAGCCTCCTCTCAGCCCCTTCTATGAGACCCCATCCCATGTGACCCCCTGTAATGTCCTACAGAGGGGACACGTCAGCTTCTACAACGACCCCTGCGGCCGGAGGAGCGCACAACCTCCATCAATTGGCCATCGGCAAGGCAACGCGTGTAGCCCCGCCCACCGACCGCCGACTGACCAATCAGGGAGCGCCCTGTTGGCTGTGCATGGTTTCCCCGGTCACGCTACGTCAGCACTGTCCAAGATGGCGATGTCCATAGAGCAGCGGCATCAGCGTTCACTGGCCGGGCTGTGGTCGGTGCTGGTCCTGTTATGGTCACTGAGCTGTGCCGTGGCTGGGGAGGAGGAGAAGGCCGCTCATCGCAGGTTCGAGTACAAGTACAGCTTCAAGGGGCCCTACCTGGTGCAGGCTGACGGCTCCGTCCCATTCTGGACCCACACTGGAAGTAAGTGTGTGTGTGTGCGCAGTGCAGGCTGAGGGAAGGGGCTGTCTGTGTCCCACCGGGGCTGATATCTCCTATGTCCCTTTCCTGAGGGCAGATACCCCTCCTGAGGGCAGACACCCCCGTATACCCCTCCTGAAGGCAGACACCCCCGTATACCCCTCCTGAGGGCAGACACCCCCATATACCCCTCCTGAGGGCAGACATCCCCCGTATACCCCTCCGGAGGGCAGACATCCCCCGTATACCCCTCCGGAGGGCAGGCATCCCCCGGGTGCCCCTCCGGAGGGCAGGCATCCCCCGGGTGCCCCTCCGGAGGGCAGGCATCCCCCGGGTGGAACACTTTCCCCAGGTACTCTTCCTGTGGACATACACAATCCTAATACCCTTCATGGTGACAGGTGACAGCATTCACTACATATCCTACCTGAGGACGATATTTCTAATATACCCATCATATTTGTAAGCTTTGCCCGTGTACCCCTACTATGGGCATTTCTTCCTAATATACACACTTCAATGCGGAAATCTATATATCCATCTTGTGAGTAGACATTTAGAATATACCCCTCCTGAGGGCAGACATTCCTGATACACCTGATGAGAGCAGACATTCCCCTGCTTGTCCATCTGTAGAGCCGACCTCTCCTGTACAGCTCATGAATGCAGGTGTCACCTTTCCACTCTGGGGTCACATACCTGAGCTCCTTTCACAATGTCTATTCTCCTGTCACTCTGCATCCTCTCTCAGCTAGCGAGAGGTATGCTCTCAGTATTGTTGGATGGTGGCTCCTGAGGACAAACATCTGCAGTTTATTTTGCTTTTTGAAATTAAAAATGTCCCACCTGTCATTCTCATTATTTGGGTGCATTGTTGAGAAGGAGTTTTTGGCATTTAAAGAACTCCGGGCAATTTTTTTTCTTAACCCTTGCAGTGGGTCTACACACACACACACACACAAACACACACACACACACACACACACCAACACACA